GATGATACAGCAGGAGACGGGACAAGGTGTACACTGTTGTGTTAACAAACTGAAAGAGAGAACAAATGAATGAGAAATAAGCAGGAAAAGAAAAGAGGAAAGAGCAGAGAGCCTCTTCATATATTGTACCACCCCCTGTACACTTTTATACGAAGTTCTCCGTTAAAAACCTTTCACTTGCAGAAAAATAAAGACATTTGGTAAAAACTTGGTACCTCATGTCTGCCATAATAGAGTGGCAAAGTGTTTTTGCTCTATCTGTATTCCAATGTTTCGTTAAAGAGGCCGATATATATGCCTTTTGGGGTTTTTCCCTTCACTGAGGCCACTTTATTAAATAATTATAGACCCATCTCTAAATTGCCAGTTCTGGCCAAGGTTCTTGAAAGCCTATTGAGTGAGCAGGTAAAGGTGTTTTTATGTAAAAATGACATCCTATGTAAACATCAGTCAGGTTTCAGAAAGCAACATAGCACCATCACTACGACAATGAAAGTGATGAATGATATTGCGGGTATCTTAGACAAAAAGCAGAGTTGTACAGCTCTGTTTATTGATCTTTCCAAAGCTTTCAATACCGTCGACCATCATATCTTGAAGCAGAGGCTGGCCAGTATTGGCATATCCAGCCATGCAGTGGGGTGGTTTGTGAACTACCTCTCTGAAAGGTCCCAATGTGTTCATTTTGAGGGGCTCACTTCTGAGTGGTTAAACATTTCAAATGGTGTACCACAAGGTTCTGTTTTAGGTCCACTATTATTCTCCATATATATCAACAGTTTAGGTCAAAATATGGATGAAGCAACTTTACATTTTTATGCGGATGATACCGTGATGTATTGTGCAGGTCCCTCCATTAAGGAGGCTGTTGTTAAATTACAGGCTGTTTTTTATATTATTCAGACGCAGCTCTCTGAACTTAAGCTTCTTTTAAATGTTGATAAAACCAAGGTAATGCTATTTTCAAAAGCCAAAAAGACACCGGCTTTGGATATTGTTACTGCTCAAGGAAAAGTACTCGAAGTGGTTGCCTGTTATAAATACCTTGGTATCTGGCTTGATGATTGTCTCACTTTTAAACTTCAGGTCAATAACCTGCTTAAAAAGCTGAGAGTGAAGCTAAGTTTCTTTTTCAGAAACAAGTCCTGTTTCTCACTTGAGGCCAGGAAAAGGCTAGTCACTGTGACCTTTTTACCTGTGCTGGACTATGGTGATTTGATATATATGAATGCACCTGCCCATTACCTGAGCAAGTTAGATGCCGCCTATCACAGTGCGCTGAGATTTGTTACTAACTGTAAAGTACTTACTCATCACTGTACCCTGTATGCCAGGGCAGGTCTGCCTTCACTTACTGTTCGGAAGCTCAGTCATTGGTACATATTCATCTATAAACAGGGGTGCACATAACAGGTACGCATGCGCGGCAACAATCTGAAATGCGTACCGTCACTTGTGTCAGGAAGCGCATTTGTGTACCGACGTACTTGTGAAGCTTTTCCAGAAGGCGGTTAGATCACCGGACGACAGAGTCGGTCTCCGTGTGCACAGACAGGGCTGCTGTTAAAGTCGGTCTGTACAACGGAATTGTGCCAAAACTACGCCAACCGGCTGCGGAGGGAGACTCCCCCCCTTCACTGGAGAACTGCGCTAAAACAGCTGATCACAACGTTCACACTCTGTGGTCACGAAGTACTCCACTAGCCCCCCCCCCCCCCGACTTTCCTGAAGTACTCCACTAGCACATCCCCCCCCTGTTGACGTTCGCGATACAGAGGGCTTCATCAAATAACTTTGAGTGGAGAAGAAGTTGGAGTACCAAACACAGACTCCAGGTACTCATCTGAGTACCTCACTGAGAAAGTTATGTGCACCCCTGTCTATAAAGCCATGTTGGGTAAACTACCAACTTATATCTGCTCTCTGATCTCACAGAGAGTCGCAAGTAGCTATTGCCTAAGATCTCAGGATGTGTTTTTATTACATGTGCCAAGTGCTAGGACTGTTTTAGGTACTAAAGCTTTTATGTGCGCAGCTCCTCTAGCTTGAAACACTCTGCAATTTGTTTTGAAACTGAGCATTTTGGTTCCCCTGCATCATTTTAAAGCTCGGCTGGATGAAATGCTATTTGATACTCTTGGTACCTGTCATTGTGAATAGGTTTGTAAATTGTACCCCTGTAATTATGTTGTATGACGTCCTTTTTGTTTTCTGTTGTTTTTCAGTTTTTCATGTGTAACCAATGTGCTGCAGTTCTCCCTTGAAAAAGAGATCGTTGATCTCAATGGGATTTCACCTGGTTAAATAAAGGCTACAAACTGTAGTGTGTTTTGTAGGTTTGTGTGCATGTAAATGGTCTGCAAAGGCTAAAATCCATGTGTTTGCTCAAGAAGTATTGTCTCTCCCAAAACCCCTCAGAATAACCCCATTATACGATATATCCCCTTAAGGGGTTGTGTATTCCTGTCAAAATGCGAGAAAATGCATTAACAGGTAAGATAAGAAAAACAGCAGAACTTAAGAGAGAAGTCTAGCAAGAAAGTATAATCAATGTTTTGCCCCCGAGAGGAACTGTGAGACTTAAGAAAGCAGAGGGGCCTTCTCTCATCTTCAAAGTTGTTCCCACTCACCTTAGGCTGTTTGTATCCTTAACATGTGGAGTCCAACTGAGAGCAGAGAAAATTATCCTTGATCTGTTGCGTCTTCTGGGGTCAAATAAATGTATAAGTTGACCGTATAAATTCTGGATAACTTAAAGGTCCCATGTCATGGCCATTTCTACTGATCATAATTCCATTGTTGAGATATACTAAAATAAATGTATATTGTGCAATTTTCCAAACTCACATTGGTTTCTCATACAGCATCTCTGTATAGTATGTGTATTCACTCTCTGTCCTAAACGGCTTGTTGGAGCTCCTGCCCCCCCCCCCCTCCCTGTGAGCCCAGTGGCCGTCTGCGAGACAGCGAGACACAGCGAAACCTAGCCCGAAACACACACACACCCGCAGCCTGGCTGGGAGTTTGTGTGTGTGCTCAGGCTGAGTTCCGCGGTGTCTCGCTGTCTCGCCGACCCCACACCAGTGAGCCAGCTCACAGTGTCCCGCTCCTCGCAGCAGCGAGCCTCGCAACGTCCCGCCGAGTGTGTGTGTGAGGAAGTCCGCGGATTGGTCCAAACATAACGGCTCCGCGGACGTTACGTCACTATACCCGAAATACATCACTAAACCCAAGAAGTAAACAATGGAAAAAGAGAAATCCCCAACGAGGCGTTCTGGGGCAGCATAGACAGGTCTTTTCTGTGTTAGAGTTTTACTCGCTACAGGGTGTACTTTGAGGGTTTGTGACTCTGCAGACCGTTTACATGCATAAAAAGCTACATAACACACAAGGGGACAGGTAATAACCAGAAAAGCATGACACGGGACCTTAAAGAAAGGGACTGGGGACAAGCGCCTCAGAGATGGACTTGTTTACTTGCATGGAAAACCAGGATAAGACATTTCCCAAAACTTTAAATTCAGTTATTACATAACTTACATCACTCCCTGTTATTGACTCCTTAGAGACAGTGTGTCCCCTTATTTCTCAGAAGTTAAACGATGGTGTTAGAACTGTTCTGATTTGCTTCCTGCAGCCATGTCATATTCCCGAATTTGTTCAAACTATTATTCCAAATGTGTATTCGCTGGAGTGAGGTTTGCAGAGAAGTTACTTGATAAAGACAGAAATATATGACAAAGATATATGCATACTCAATATAAGATATATTCATACATATACTGACATACATTAATAAACTAGTATAGACCTAACCTGGGAGTGAAGTGTCATGATGTTAGATCTGCTATCAGGATACACACATCAGCTTTTCCATGTTTCTGCTAGCATAAAAATATGTATTTCAATGATATTTAAGTGTTCTTTTTAAATCAGAGCTTTTTATTCAGAACTGGTTCCCATACAAAGGCAGTACTGTTTGAATTTAGTTCACTTAAAACATTTTTTTTTCCTTTTGCAATTGTGAACCTTTTTATGTGCAGGGCCTTAAAGAAAATATTAAGATTCCTTCTCTCTAAACTAACCGTGAAGGAGGCCTTCAAAGCGTAAACAAGCTATAGTTGTAGGACTCACTGAACCCACTGAACCCACTGTGAGTCAGATGTAGAACATTTTGAATTTAATACAAATTGTGTTAAAATTTGCCGCGAAGCTCTGTGACCTGAATGAAAAAGGACAAAAAAAGCTAGGAAAACGTAGGGTCTTCAGGTCCCCACACATCACACACGTAAGTAGTGTGGACTGGTAGGGGTTATAAGCTGCAGGAGCCACTCACGTTTGTATTTGTATCATTGACTTGCCCTATTCTGGGAATACTTTATTTGTTTTAAGTGTATCAGAAACTTTTTTTTACAACAGATGGTCAAAGAGAAAATGCTGCACCTTGTCTTTGACACTTACATATCATAGAAAAATCACATAAATACAGTTGTTAGTGAAATGGGCCGAGCCTTAAAAGGGTGTACAATAACAAATGCTTGGTCATGTTTTTGAATGTGACACCGCAACTATTGTTCAGTATTGGGTCATCCATTAGAACTAGCACTGCCAAGTTACATACCAGACTCTCATGGCCACATTGATCAGCTGTACCATTTAGTCAAAGACGCCAGCAGATTAAAACAGTAACACACAACACTGTGTTTTTCTGGTGGCAGTCATACTGTGGTTGAAAAGACGTTCACTGCTCATGACCAACTGGATTTAAGTTACCACCCTCAAAAATAAATCATCCTTTGGAGGGAATATGCAGAAGCATTTATTTTATTATCATGGATATGACAGACTGTATAGTATGGGGGATAACTGGTGCTAGTCTTTAATGTATATGTTTCACTTTGTATGGTAAAAAGTCTTATTCACATCATCTTTTGAGTATTGTACTAAACTCTATGTACAATGTTAACTACCTCTGATGTGTATTTTTTTGTGTCTTGCAGTCATTGCAGCATTATACATGGGCCAGAGACGCCGCAAAGAGAAAGAGACTCTGATGACATCAAAAGAGGACATCCGCGATAATGTTATTCACTATGACGACGAAGGTGGCGGCGAGGCTGACACTCACGCATTCGATATGGGCACTCTGCGCAACACACACTCCCAGCGCACCAGCGCTCACAGCAGCATCTCCAAGAAGGAGAAGAACGGCTATGGAGACGGCGTCCTGCTGCATCTCAGCAGCCGCGTCGACAACGTACGGTCACCTGACATCCACCGTCAGACAGCCAGTGTCATCGCTGCCAAGAACAACAAGGCGCCGCCAACCCCTCCCCGCGGCAAAGTGACTGAAGGCGATGCTATAATGATCAGGGAGTTCATCACACAACGGTTGGAGGAGAGTGAGCAGGGTTACGCCGCCCCACCCTATGATTCGTTGGCGACATACGCCTACGAGGGTTGCGGCTCGGTGGCTGGCTCGCTCAGCTCCATAGAGGAGTCCTGGGTTATTGACGATTCGGGGGAATTTAGCTCCCTTGGTGACTGGGGACAGCCGTTTAAAGCCCTGGCTAGCATCATGGACATGAAACCGTCTACTCTGACTGAGGAGAGCTGAGAGGGAGCTGCATGGCAAAGACAATTTGGGAGGCCGGGTGGGAATTAGCTTACTTTTTCTAATCATGTTTTTTACTGTGACAGGCACTGGCTTTATAGAATATGTTTATGTGAAGTTGTGGACTGGCTCGAGAATTTAGCTACAGGTGGGTGAAAAGGTAAATGTGATAGTGCCTGAGGTACTATTTGTTTACATGTGTTAATTTATGTTAATAAAATACCTTCTGACGTTGGGATCATGATGTCTTTTCATAAAATGTCCCAACAATGATTGAATCAGAAAATCAAATGCAATGTTGGTCTTTAGTGATAGTCTCAGCTATTTTCTCAACACCTCCATGAGGTCATTTTGGTTCTAAGTGTAATATATTGGTGCATTGCTGATGTCTTTTTGTAGGCTGAGAAGAAAGTGAACAAAAAGCAATGGGATTTGTCCGTTGGATTTCGGCAGGAAATAAGCACTGTGGCAAACATTTGCTTATGGTACTTCACATGTTTGTTCAGCAGGATAATCTCCACATATCAACACTACTTTGTGAAGTTTCAATGCAATTGCCAAAAGTAAAAAGCTGTCATGAGGCTATTGACAAACTACATCAAGGTCGCAAGACTACATGACACCACCGCTAAGCAAAAGGGGGCTAATATTTGGCGTGATGACGTTTCGTAGTTACTTGTTTCGCAAGGTTCCGCCATTTTTATGATTCATAGAAGCTTCGGACATTCACCATTGGGATATTTACTGACTCATTTGTATATCATATAACAAAACGCTTGTGTTAATCAGACCTTTTTAAGTCATCTGACCACTAATACATACAAAAAAACGTTGACTTCAAGACGAGGGAAACAGAATTGCTAATATGCTAACTCACTTCCAGACTGATGTCTCCGTCAGGATGAATCATATGAACATTGGTGATCCTTTCCTCAGTTCTGCGAAAGGGCAACATTTGAACATGAGCGATACTTTGTTTTATGTCCAAAAACGTGCAATACAAGTTAAATCCCATTCAGCATTAGCTGTACTTTGCGTTAGCGCTAGTTAGCAAATGTTACTTTGTTTATATTTAGAGACCATGGTAAACATTAGCATGTTAGCATTGTCACTTTGAGAACAATAAAATGTGGACGTTTGCATTTAGTAAAGCCTCACAGAGAAAGTCAATTCTTGTTTCTTCAGGTTCATTTTGACATATTTTCCTTGATCACATTTGATATTGGGTTTTTGAACACATTGATACGTATCTCTGGCACTCCTTTTCTATGTTTTGCACTTCAGTATTGTTATGCAGTTTCTTTCGAAGTCTAGCCAACATTTTTGAAATAGGCAAAACAATAAAAATTGAATATAATTGAAAAGAGGTGACTTATTTGATAAAGTCTGAATCATCAGTCTGCTCAGTCACATTGGTTGCCTATTGTTCCTGATACTGAGCCACGAGTAGATTTATAATGAATCTTAGGCACCGTCCACACGGAGACGAAACGAGGGGTTACGTATTGTAACCCTAGTTCTATAAGCACAGGCGGAGCCCTCTACTGGACTTTATCGGTACTACTCTCATCAATGATACGCGAGCGTTCACACACTGAAGTTGTATAAACGTAGCTGGCCAATCAGGGCGAGCCTACCTGAATGCGCACGCATATAAGGCAGCTACACCTCCTGACTGTCATCCTACAAGGTTCAAGGTTCAAGGTTCTTTATTTGTCAAACGAACATAGCTACAGTGTAGTTATGTCGATGAAAATCGTGTGTCACAGGCTTCTCCAACAGTGCAACACAAAACACAGATAAACAGAAAAATAGAATGCAAGTAAATAGTAAATACAAGAAGAAAATAGTTTAAAAAGGTGAAATAGTGAAATAGTGCAATAAGAGTCTATATGCAAGTCATTGAAATATGATATATTAGGTAAATAGATAAATAATTATATATAAATAAATAGCAGCCAGATGAATATTGTGGATGTTGTTTAAACAGTTCAGGTGTAATCCTACACCCTCTTCAGCGAGCGGCATAGGAAAGACAGGGCCCCTAGGTAGAGGGCTCCGCCTGTGCTTATAGAACTAGGGTTACAATACGTAACCCCCCGTTCTATCTCACACAGGCTCCGCCCTCTACTGGACTCTATGGGTACAGTGGGTGGAGCCCCGATGGATAAACGCCCTGTCCCACCACACTGCCCCTGACCGGCCTTTGGTTAACAGCCACCGCACCCCAACTTCCTATCATCCGGTTGTGACAGTGGAGAAGTCGGGCCGCAGCTTACTTGGCTGGGTAGAGCCTAATTGGTCTGAATAAGCCCATAGCTCCACCCTGCAGGTGCCAGCGCAAGTGACTATACACTGCACACTACGTTTCCCAGGTCCCTAAGGAGCATGGGGAAAACGTACACGTTTCCCAGGTCCCTAAGGAGCATGGGACAACGTAAGTGCATTCTGTCCCTGGGGGTCAGATACAGCTTACTGACCCACAGCCCTCCTCCTTTCACCAGTCCTGTGTTGCCCCAGCAAGCACCGACGATGAAAAAGGAGCCAGACATGTCTAAGAGATACTTACCTTATGAACAGGCCTGGCATAGACCAAGACGCCGCCGTACATAGGTGGACGACTAAAGCCGTCTAGCTGTATAACCCTCGACCTGGAAGAACTCCTTAGGTTCTTGGGAACAGAGGAGGGGTTCGGTCTGAGTGTCGCCCTGCTACGGTCACCACGAACCAGAAGGCAACTCGGGTGCACCGATAGAGCGGTCAGTTCGCATACTCTCTTGGCAGAAGTCAAAGCAAGCAGCAAAGCTGTTTCTTTTTGCTTCTCTCTCTCTCAATGATAGCGCCTACATGGTGGAGAGCTCCAGAGGCTCAAACGGTTCTGTAACCAAAGCCTCGAGCACCAATGGCAGTTCCCATTGCGGGGTGGAGACATGCACCACTGGACGCTGTCTCCTGATCCCCTGCAAAAAACGCTTCATAAACGGTTGGCTAAAGACTGGTCTGCCGCCAAATCCCGCATGACAGGACGAGATGGCTGCTGCATACACCTTGACTGTGGCATGAGCAAGCCCCTTGTCCACCAGTGGCTATAGCTAGGATAGAATAGAGCCCAATGTACCGGACAGAGGCTCTAGTCTCCCTTCCTCGCACCACGTCTGTCTGTCCTCTGACAGAGTGGCACGTAGTCTGCCCTCCTTCTTGATGGGGCGTACACCTCGCTCTCGATGGGGGCGTACCCCTCGCTCTCGATGGGGGCTGCATTTAGCAAAATCCCCAGATACCCCACCTGCTGGTGAGGTATGGGACTGCTCTTCTTCCAATTGACCGCAAACCCCCAACTTGGTTAGGTGTAGGATCAATTGGGCTGTGTGGAACATTGCCCATTCCCTGGACCTGGCCATGACTATGAGGTCGTTGAGATAAAATAAAACCCTCATGCCATGGTCGCGAAGCGGCTGGAGCGCTGTGGTCACACATTTGCTGAACGTGCGTGGGGATAGGGAATAGCCGAACGGTAATCTGTTGTACTCGTAGGCTATCCCCTGGAAGGCAAAACGCAAATACTTTCTGTGCTTTGGAGCAATTTTGACATGAAAGTAAGCGTCCCTCAGGTCGATGGTTGTGAACCAATCGCCCGGCTGCACCAGTTCCAGTAATTGTTTTATGGTTAACATATGGAACTTTTTGTGCTGATTCAGGATGCGAAGATCCAGAATGGCTCTGAATTCTCCTGTCTTCTTGGAAACCAGGAAGTACATGGAGTAAAGGCCCTTTTCTCTGTCCTGAGAGTGCACAACAGACACAGCCTGTTTTTCCAACAGGGCCTGAATCTCTGTTGAAAGGAAACCTATCTCCTCCTGGGATGATAGATTTGCCTCTCTTATGCCCCTGAATGGAGGAGGGACGCTGCAAAACTGGAGTGAGTAACCCAGTTTCAGTGTCCTGTCCATCCACTCTGTCAGTACACAGCTGAGCTTCCATTCCCCATAAAACTGTGTTAGGGGACATGCAAGCAGCTGTGGAGCCGCAGCTAAGAAGCTGTGGTACTCTCTGGTGGCCCATTCCGCCGCCAAACCTTCCATAAAAGGAAGTTTGGCCCATGGGGAGCTGGCACAGAAAGGGCCGATTTTCTACTGAGGTCCTTGAACGCACCGCGGCACGCTCTCGCGGGGCAACACACAGGCCATAATGTCCAGCAGGGCAGAGGTTCTCCGCCCAGCCTGCTGCCTGTGGGAGAAGACGGGCTGCCAGGCTCTCATCAAGGGGGGGCACGCCGGGACACGCTGTGTCCGTGCGGCCCTGCACCCTGAGGATCCCCACCATACCAGCCACTGGAGCCTTCGCCTTCAGTGGCTGTCGCCACGACGCCTCCACACACTGCCATATATCTCGCAACGGGGGCGAAACGACGGCTGGCTGCGCCGGGCGGACCGGGCCGTAGAACCCCTGGCGGAGGCGGCTCACCGGTTTCGGCAGCTGCCTTATATGCGCACATTCAAATCAAATCAAATCAAGTTTTATTTATACAGCACATTTATAAACTATTTTTGGTCGAGCCAAAGTGCTGTACAAATAATAAAAATCCCCTACAGTAAAGACATTTTACAGTAAATACAACAGCACAGTTTGTTCAGAATATCAGTATGAGAAAAAAACGACACCCTCTGTCCTTAGACCCTCACATCGTACAAGGAAACACTTCTGGAGAAAAACCCACAGTTTAAAGGGAAAAAATGGGAGAAACCTCGGGGAGAGCAACAGAGGAGGGATCCCTCTCCCAGGACGGACAGACGTGCAATAGATGCTGTGTGTAAATCGAAGAGATAATACGTTTTAGAGCGTAGGTAGGTAGACCGAATGTTAGGAAATGCATGTGTCTATAATAAGAAGATGAATCCACGAGGATGTCAACAACAATCCTGTGGGAGCCTTCAGGGAAGCAGCATGACGAGAGCCAGGCAGGACCGCAGAGACAGGCCCAGCCACGACCCGAAGTCCACAACTTAATCCAGAACTCAGGATAGAGGATCCAGGGCACAGGACCACAGCAAGAGGATCAGCCTCGACTCCCGATCCCGGCGACAACAACAACAACAATGGCTTATCACAGGGTTGCGTTCGTGCTCCAGACGCTACTGACCATGCTA